CCACTAATATTTTACCTCCCTCAACATCTTTTACCATATTTAAAACCAAATGATACAGTTGATGGTCTGGGAGTTTACAGGTATGTGCTGAAAGCATTAAGTACTTCTGCCTCTCCCATGTAGACCTCCTCAGTCCTCTGCCCATGGCTGCAACTCACTGTATTGGAATCTCTCTGCAGCTGGTACCGTATGCAAAGAGGGCAAAGACCTTGTTCTTTAAATTTGCATATGCATGGGTTGTAGACCTAAGCATAAAGCTTCTACAAGAAAACAGATGAGTATGTTTGGGACTTTGGGGTAAGCAAAGTCTCTTAGGCAAGGGCACAGTAAGCTTTAGCCATAAAAGAAAAATAAATCGAGCTACTTTACAATTGATAAATTAATAAATTGAGCTCCTTCACAATTTCTGCTTATCGAAAGACTCCTTTTGGAAAATAAATGTGCAGCAGACTGGACAATAGAACATTGAGAATATAGAAAGAACTCCTTTGACTTAGTAATAAAAAAAATGATATAATTTAAAAAATGACCAGAAAATTTGAACAAATGCTTTATGATAGAAGACATAGAGGTGGCGAATAATTGTATGAAAAAATGTCTAACACCATTAGTTATCAGTTAAATGCAAATTAAAACCACCAGAATGTCTAAAATGGAAAAGACTGATAACATCAAGTGTTGGTGAGCATGTGGAGCAATCAGTAGTAATTTTCTTATGTTACTAGTGTGAGTGTGAAATGATGCTTCCACTTTGGAGTATATACCTCAACATAACACAGAACATATGTGACAAATCCACAGTGAACATTCTCTAAGATCAGGAATAAGAAAAGGATGTCCACTATTGTCATTTTTATTCCACATGGCATTAGTAGTTTTAGCCACAGCAATCAGACAGGAAAAAGAAATAAAAGTCATCCTAATTGGCAGGAAAGAAATAAAACTGTCACTAATTGCAGATGAGATGATCCTAATATAGAAAATCCTACAGATGCCACCAAAAAACTACTAGAATTAATAACTGAATTCAGGAAAGTTATGGGACATAAAGTCAATATACAGAAATTGGTTGCATATGTATACACTAATAATGAAATAACAGAAAGGAAGATTAAGAAAACAACCTCATTTACAATTACATTAAAAGAACAAAATTCCTAGGAATAAACTTAACCAAGGAGGTGAAAGACCTGTACTCTGAAAACTATAAGAAAATGATGAATGAAATTGAGATGACATAAATAAATGGAAAGATATACCATGTTCATGGATTGGAAGAATTAACATTGTTAGAACTCCATACTACCCAGAGTAATGTACAGGTTCAAAGCAATTCCTATGAAAATATCAATTACTATTTTTCAGAGAACTAGAATGAAGAATCCTAAAACTTGTGTGGAATCACAAAAGACCCCAAATAGCCAAAGCAATCTTGAGAAAGAAGAACAAAGGCATCACACTTCCTGCATTCAAACTATCCTAGAAAGTTAAAGTGATCAAAGCAGTATGGTACTTGTACAAAAAAAGACGCATAGATCAATGGAACAGAACAGAGAGCCCAGAAATAAACTCATGCTTATGTGGTCAATTAATCTATGACAAAGGAGCCCGAAGTATATAATAGGGAAAAGACAGTCTCTTCAATATGGTGTTGGGGAAAGTGGACAGCTAGCTACATACAAAAGTGTGAAACTGAATCACATTCTTATACAACATATATAAAAATAAATTCAAAATTGATTACAGTCCTAACTATAAGGCTTGACACCATTAAAAGCCTAAAGAAAAACAGGCCTAATGGAAAACATTGGCAGTAATCTCTTGGACATCAGCCTTAGCAGCACTTTTCTAGATCTGTCTCCCTTTGCAAGGGAAGCAAAACAGAAATAAGCTATTGGGACACACCAAACTAAAAGGGTTTTGTACTTGCAAAGGAAACCATAAACAAAACAGAAAGGCAACCCAGTGAACAGGAGGAGATATTTGCAAATGATATATCTGATAAAGGGTTAATATCTAAAACAGCAGAATTCATATAATTCAAAACCAAAAAAAAAGCAATCTGATTACAAAATGGGCAGAGGACCTAAATAGACATTTTCTCCAAAGAAGACATCCAGATAGCTAACAGGTGCATGAAAAGGTGCTTAATGTCATTCATTATCAGGGAAATCCAAATCAAAACCACAGGGAAATACCACCTCATACCTGTCAGAATGGCTATTATCAAAAAGACAAAAAAAAAAAAAAAAAGTGTTGCCGAGGGCGTGGGGAAAAAGGAGTCCTCGTGACTGTTGGTGGCAATGCGAACTGGTGCAGCCACTCTGGAGAATAGAACGGAGGGTCCTCAAAAAAGTAAAAATGGAAGTACTGTATGATTCAGTAATTCTACTTCTGGCGGTTTACCTGAGGAAAATGAAAATACTTACTTGAAAAGATACATTCACCCCTGTGTTTATGGCAGCATTGTTTATAGTAGCCAAGTTGTGGGCACACTCCAAGTGTCCGTCTATAGACACGCATGTACCCACCCAATGGAATGTTACTCAGCCATAGAATGAATGACGTCTTGCCATTCACAGTAATACGGATGGACCTAGAGGACAGAATGCTAAGTGAAATAAGTCAGACAAAGACAAGTACCATATGGTCTCCCTTACATGTGGAATCTAAAAAACAAATGAACAAGCAATATCAACAGAGAAACAGACTCATAAATACAGAACTCGTGGTTTGCCAGAGGGGTGGGGGGATGAGGGAAATCAGTGAAGGGGATGAAGAGGTACCAACTTCCAGTTATGAAATAAGTCACAGAGATGAAAAGTACAGCAGAGGGAATATAGTGAGTAATACTGTAAAAACTCTGTGGTGATAGATGGTAACTACACAGAGAGGGAGACACAGAATCCGAAACAGGCTCCAGGCTCTTGAGCTGTCAGCACAGAGCCCAACCCGGGGCTCAAACTCATGAGCCATGAGATCATGACCTGAGCTGAAGTCGGACATTTAACCAACCGAGCCACCCAGGTGCCCCATTTTTAAAAAATGTTTATTTGTTTTTGAGAGAGAGAGAGAGCACAAACCGGGGAGGGGCAGAAAGAGAGGGAGGCAGGATCCAAAGCAGGCTCAGCTCCGTCAGCACAGAGCCTCATATGGGACTCAAACTCAGGAACTGTGCGTCATGACCTGAGCCAAAGTCAGACGTTTCACTGACTGGGCCACCCAGGTGCCCCACCATTTGTGTATCTTTTTTGGAGAAATGTCTGTTCATATTCGTTGCCCATTTTACATTGGGTTGCTTGTCTACTTATTATTGAATTGTAAGGATTCCTTATATAGTCTATATGTAAATTCCATGTGAAATATAAAAAATGATGCTTCCACTTTGGAAAACTTCAGGTGGTCCTCTGGGGGGTGTGGTGGGAGGCGGAGATTGAGTGTGTACGCGAATAACGCAGGAGAAGAGGGAAATGACATCGTGGAATCCAGGAAGGCGGTGAGAATTTAGGGAAGGGAGAGGCCGCTCACACAGGAGAGCATGAGGGCCAGTGTCTGGGAGGCGCGCTGAGTGGGGTGCTGCCATGGGCAGACGTGGGAGCCAGCCTGCTGGTTTCTTATTCTGCCTCAAATATGCGGGCCTGGCTGACCTCTCCGTCATCCTCGTCTCCTGGAGAGTCAGCCCTCATCTGTGTTTCATTGAACTCTGAGCAATTTTTCCTTCACTTCTTCACCGTTGCCTTCTCTGAGGGCAGGGCTCTTTCCCTGTTCTGTTCCCTGCTGTGAGCCCGGCCCCAGGGGCCGTGGACACCGGAAGGCATTCACTGAACAGGTGTCCACAGAATGAGAAAACACACACATTGGAATTGTCCTGTTTGGCTGGGTCACAGGTAGGCAGTGGGTCCTGGGATTATGAGGGCAGGGCTTGTGGTTGTGGTACCCAAGGGCTTCCTGCTGTTTCTGAGAAGGGGGGATGGCCTCTGAGCTGTGCTCCGGGAATACTGGTCTGGTGGGTGTCTGTGGCTGGATAAAGCAAGGTCTCGAAAGCTGGTTGGAAGACCATTTAGATTTGTCCTCCAGGTGAGGGTCCAAGCAAGGGCCATGGAGCTGGGTATGGAGAGGGCATTGAGGAGCACGAGCTTGCGGGGCTGCCATGCTGTGGTTCTGTGCTCACAGACGTATCTGGGCAGCAGATTTATCAGCAGGCTGGCAGAGGGACAGAACCGCCTCCTTACGCAGGATGGCCTAAGCAGCAGGGTGGGTGGTGGCCAGCCTCCCTCTTTACAGGTGGCTGTGACACAGTAAGGTCAGCAGAGCCCCGACCCGAACTCAGGCCTGGTCTCTGACACTTCCGGGCTGTGTGATTTTACATTGGCTGTTCGTACTTGTCTGAGCTTCACATTTCCTTATCTGTGAGCTGGGGTAGAAACAGTTCATGGGATTGTTGTGATGATTAAGGTACATTAGATTTGCTGGTACTTGAGAAACAGAAGTTGTTACTACGTCACGGGAATGTGGGGAGAATCCAGTCAGGCCATGGATGAAAGAAAACCTTCTGGAAGCACAAAGGCTGAAGCCTAAGTTAGGTGTTGTGATTGTTAATGGCTCATCGTCTGGTTATGTGGTTCCATGTATTTTCTACTTAAAAGTTTTGTACTTGAGGAAAGTCCCTGCCCGAATCCTAGCGTCAAGGTGAACTGTTGTTCCTTTTCTTTTATGATGGAGCTGAAAGTGGATGCCCTGTGCTGTGTACCTGTACCTTCGTTCTGGGGAGTTGTGGGCCTTACTTGTAAAAGGACAGGATGAACTTGAAGAGCTGGGTCTCTGAAAGGCTTTGGGACTTGCGTGTCATACTGCTTCTGTGCTTTTCTAGGCAGGGTCTTCAGGGTGGGGGATCTCGGCTTGGCCCTTCCCCAGTGTTTCATCGTGTCTCTGTTTTATGAAAAAGCTCTTTTTAGGTGTTTCATGTCTCAGAAGCTTTTTACTTTCTGTTTGTGCTTCAGCTTTCCGAAGAAGAAAAAATCCAGCGATACAGCATCCTCTCTGAGCTCTACGAGCTGATTGGCTTCCATCGAAAGTCTGCGTTCTTCAAGCGCGTGGCCGCCATGCAGTGTGTGGCCCCCAGCATCTCGGAGCCCGGGTGGAGGGCCTGTTACAAGCTGCTCCTGGAGACGCTCCCCGGCTACAGCCTGTCGCTGGATCCCAAGGACTTCAGCAAAGGTATCGGATGTCTCTGTGCTGCAGCTATTTAATCCAGTTCCCCGTGCGTCGTTTGAGTACTTGCTCTCCCAGTGCCCTCAGAGCACTTAGATGCTGTCATTGGCGATGGATGGGGTTCAAAATGACCGAGCCCCATCCTGCCCTTGGGCACTTAGGATAATGTTTATGATGATACAATAAACAAGTGGTGGTACTTCGCTTGGGGGCTGGCATTCATTTGACTGGTCCCTGTCCCGGCCCTGGTAGTAGTGATTGGAGTTCAGGGCAGAAATAACCAGACAAGTCATAGATGCCTATGGCATTTACTTTCAGAAGGCTCAGTGTGGTTGGTGGAAAAGGCGACAGAGCTGTGAAGGTGGGCACCAGCTCAGTTCAGCCACCTTCCAGAGAGGTCTGCTGGGAGGGGGTTAGTGTTTGGGAAGAGGGCAGCGTTTTTAGAGCAATCGCACAGTTGTTCTGTGGCGAGAGGAGAAAGGGTATTTTAAAAGTTCCCACTTGCACCATGAAAAGAAGCCCCTTTTACTGTGCTTCAGAGAGACTGTAGGCAAGGTCGCAATTGCTCTCCAGTTACCCTTTTGTGGTGTCCTTTAATGTAACTGCAAGCTGGCTCCAGAGGGAGAGCCAGCCACCAGGGCTTCTGCGAGTCACGCCAGGAGTTGTCTGATGTGTCCTGCGAAACATAACATCTAAGCATCCAGGGCGGAGGCTTCCTTCCGGACGCTCTTCTCTGCTCCTCACTGTTTAACTGTCAGCCGCCCTTTGGGTCTCAGCTGAATGTCACTTATGCAGAGAGTTCCCCCAGGGTCCCTCAGCCTGAGTGGAACCTGTTTATCTTTCCTCTTTTGTTGAATCCTGTTGTTCTTCCTTCTGGCACCTTCCATAATTTGCAAGTGCCTGTAAAAATCAGTTGGGACAATGATTGAACATCTGCTTACTGCACGAGCCTGTGTGCCCCGTGAGAGCAGAGCTCCCGACTGTCACCGTGTCCCCTGGCCGGCACATGGCAGGTGTCCCAAACCCTAACGAGCCGCTACAGCGACATGTGTTGGTTGCCAGTTGTTGAATAGAATTCTGACCTTAATTTTTAAATGAGATGAACAACATATGGTTCTTTTAAAAAATAAAACAAATAAGCACATCTTCAGGTGATTTGGTACTTTTTACTTAGCCTTTTGTTTTGGCAGGGGACATCTGCTGTCTTTAGTGAAAGAGGTTGAGACAAGGTCAGGAAGTGCGATCAAATAAAGTAAAAATGATAAATGTTGGCTGGCTGTATTTTTAATGAGAAATAAAAGTCACTTTAAACTTCATCTCCACAGTTGCTCTGGACCACTTCAAAGATTTCTCAGAGAATTAGATGGAAATGTTCTCAAACCTTGTACCTGTGGATGAAAGTCTGTATTCTCAGGACCTGAAATGCATTTCTATCTCTTGAAATGAACATTTCCCCTAGCTGGTTAGAGAAAGTGAGGGTAGGCACACAGAGGCACACAGTGTGTATTTGCCAGCTCAAAGGGCTGCGTATTATCGTTTTAATCTTACTTGTGTTGCCTTGTGTGAGGATTTATGAAAATGCTATATATTTATGCTGTGTATGAAGACCAGCATTTTCCCGAGCGAGGGATTCAGTCTTCCCCAGGAGCTCTTACAAAAGACAGGAAGGGCAGATGGATTTGCTTAAAGGCAATCGTTGATGTAATAAACTCTCAAATTGGGAGAACTTTCCAAATGCAAGAGTGTTGAAAGTGTTATCACTTGGTCATATGTTGCAAATCTGTCTTCAGAATAAAGAGTCACATTTTATTGCGGGAGCAGTTTGAATCACATAGAAATTGTGGCTTGTACACTCTTTAGTGAAGAAAATTTATGCTCAGCCTTACTCATAATTGCCTGTGGTAGGAACTGTATCATTATGTATTTAAAAAAAAATCAGCATAGTGATATTTGCCCAATTTTTAAGTGAGGAAACCTTCTTGATGTCCTAGTGTTGAGATTCATTAAATTGGGTCATTTAGAATTCATGGCTTGGGTAGTCATGAAATTGATTTCAGCCTCTTAATCCTTCTTAAAATCTCTTATTTCATTTTGGCATTTAGTCTTCACTTCTTTTGACAACGAGGAAATATTGCAAGGACGCGCCTTTCTCTCCTTCCCCATTGTGTGAAAAGTGCTACTATCTTATTCCAAGTGGTTTTTGTAAGATAGACTTTAGGGTATGAGGTAGATTTCGTGGTGTGTGTTTCTGTGTGTATTTATGCACCTCCAAGAATTTCAGTGTAAAAAATTATTATGAAGTAACTTAAGTACATACAGTTAAGGAGAATAGTCCAACGAGCCCATCACCCAGGTAAGTGATTATCAAGAGTTTGCCACTTATGCTTTATTTTTACCATTTTTTCCCTTGTATTTGTTGTTGAATCCCAGAAAATATGTCATTTTACCCTACATACTTAAGTTGTGTGTCTGAAAAATAGGGCATTGCCTTTCATCAGGCTTTGAACTTGACCCACGTGGCTGTGAAGCACCAGCTGTGTACCAGGCATCCCGCTAGGCATTACGGATACCTGGGTGAATAAGGCACAATCCTGGCCCCCAAGAAACGGAGGGTTGGTGGAAGGAATAAATCACGAGATTACAGGTGCTTCACAGCACCTGCCAGATAGCGCCTACGGGACCGAGGCTGTGCAGGATGTTGCAGACAGACACGGGAGAGCTGGCCAGCCGCGTGGGGCAGGGTGGTGGGAGAGGAGGTCAGTACGGGCTGTGACTGCAGCCTTCAGTCTTCTCGCCCAAGCCCCGGGGCCGGGGACACGCAACACGGTGCAGCTACGTGTGTGTCGGGATCCCATTACAAGGCCTCCTTCATGAAGGATTTCCAGGTGTAGTAACGGTTGTCAGAAGGGAGATGGAATAGATAACTCTAAGATTCTTGGTCTTACGGAGGTAATTTTCAATGGTTGTGCAGCTAACTCCCTCACCCTGAATTCCATCTATGCGGATTTATTTTAGAGGGAGCAGCTGCAAAAGTCCATTGGTAACCTTTTTTTAGCTGTCTGCTTTTATGAGCTTTTCTTATATGCTAAATTAAAAAAGCACATTTTTCTCATGTCCTTGGTTGTTGCTAATGAAGGCCCATCAAGTACTAGTATTTCTTTGAAAAAAATTGTGTATCTGTAACTCAAATACATGCCATTGGAAACATAGTCTTTTATTATAACCTTATTGTAATGATTTCCAAGTGGTTTTATTTATTTATTTATTTATTTATTTGTTTGTTTGTTTCTTTAGAGAGAGAGAGAGAGCAAGCAGGGGGTGGCGCAGGGAGAGAGGGAAGAGAGAATCCCAAGCAGGCTCTGCACTGTCAGTGCACAGCCTGATGCAGGGCTTGGTCCCACGAACTGCGAGATCCCGACCTGAGCCGAAATCAAGAGTCGAACATTCAACCAACTGAGCCACCCTGGAGCCCCTCAAAGTGCTTATTTTTGCAACCGTGTATTCGTAGAAGAGAAGAAATATACCAAAAAACATATTTTTTTTAACTGTATGAAAACACCTATCACTTGTGGGTTCTTTCTGGGGTGCGTCAACACGGGAAATTTCTTTGTTGCCCTTTGGGTTTGATAGTTGGGGCCTTTGTCTTTAAATCACCAAGTTTTACACGTACCATTGCACGTATTTGCATGGAAGGGTCGCGTCCTCGGCTCTGTTGCTGGCGCCCTCTGGAGCCCTTTGAGGACGTTCTGGGACTTCCCCCCACAGGTACACACCGAGGCTGGGCAGCTGTGCAGATGCGCTTGCTTCATGAACTGGTCTACGCCTCCCGAAGAATGGGGAACCCCGCTCTTTCTGTCCGGCACTTGTCCTTCCTGCTGCAGACCATGCTGGACTTTTTGTCCGATCAGGGTGAGTGAACTCAAACTGCCATCTTTTTCAGCACTCTTCGCGCCGGCCTGCGTAAACACAGGGCTTAGGTTTAGGTGGGTGGCGCTTCCCCATCCTCTACTGGTTAGAAGACACTGTGCCTCTCTGTGTCCTCTGCTCCCCGTGCTGTTCCCTGTGGGGGCCTGATGTCGCTGCCCAGCATTCCTCCCCAATTCCTGCTCCCTTCCCCTCCTGCCATTTCTGTCTCTCAGCCTCCGGGGGGGCCCTTCTTCCCTTTGCCTACATTATATCCGACAGAAATGTCCAGGTAGAGCGTGTATATGGAGAAGTGCATGATTCATAAGAACGCAGCTCAGTGCATTCTGCCCCCCGCCCCCGCCCCCCGTGACTGCTTCTGTAACTGGCAGCTGGAGGGGAAACGTGACCGGAACCATGGGGATGCCCGTGTGCTGCTCAAGGGCAGCTTCTGTCTTGCTTTTACAACCAGGATGCCACTTGCCTGTGTTTGCACCTGTGACATCATGTGGTATCTTTCTTCCGGGCCCTTCTGTTGGTCGTCCGCTCTGACCGTTACTGGGCGCCATCTGCTTTGTGGGCTCCAGTCAGAACCTGTGTGTTTCCAGCCCAGTTTCCACACGGGGCCCAGGCCCTTTGGCGCTGGCAGGGCACGTCCCTTGGCGTGTGGCACGGGCCCTTGGAAGTGAGCACGCCAGCAGTGGAGCTCCGGACTTGGCCATCTCACCGCCCCTGCTGCCAGGGCCGCTCAGCCCATCGGTGTGTGCTGCTCTCTGGGTTCTGTGAGCTCTGCCCTGGAGATAAAGTGGTGGGGGGTTTATTAGGAAGTGCTCCCAGGATCGATACCAATTATAGGGAGGAAAAGTGGCAGAGGGAGCTGCGCCTCTGTGCGGCGTCAGCAGAGGCCCTGCCTGCCCGCGGAGAGCTCTGTGCCATGACGGTGTGGCAGTGCTGGCCTGCTCGGTCATGAAGGCCAGGCCCAGTGACCCGTCGGGCTGTGCCTGGTGAGGCAGTTTCTGGAGAAACTGGGCCCGTGGGACTACCGTGCTCCTTCACCGCGCATCCCAGCACCCGCCATGTGGGCCCCCTCTGTCCTCTCAGCGCTAACGTCTGTGGGTACCCCTCCCCCTCTGCCTGTTGATTTCCCCCGACTGTTCTCCTGTCCCGCGGTCGTGGTGGTCTCCTCGGCTCCAGGATGGAAGGGTGGTGTGTCTCTGTGATGAAGGTGTGAGGCTTAAATGCATTAGTTCCAGGAAGGCATTTATACCGGAGCTTCAGCTACAACCAGGAACGGTTAGCTTCAAAAGAAGCACTCAAGTGGGCATGTGATTGCCTTTACAAAACCAAGAAAGCTGTCGTTCTGACTCACGTGCTTTTCTAAAACGGGAGAGGGAAGGCGTTGTCGTGGCTATTACGGCGCGAGTGCGACATTGTGTTTTAAGCAGAAACAGTTGAGGACCCCGGCTCAAGGTGAAGTTCGAGGGTGCGCCGCAGGATTGGGTGAGATTCCTCTCATGTGATCTCCTCCTCCGCTTCTGTGTATCCTTGAACTTCAGGCAGGGTGTGTGGACTTCACATCGCGTGTACCACGTATGCCCATCGTGTGCTGTGCTCTGTCCACAGCGGCACCTGCTGGAACTTGGCAACGTCGTGTTCCTCAGGGGACTTCCACAACCGTCTCGGAGCGAGGAGCTCCTGTAGCTCCTTGCTGCTGATGCCCTTTTCACGTCCGGTGGTTGTTTCTCTCTGGACATCACTGCCCAGACAGAGGCCCCCACAGACGGGGGGACAGCTTGTCCTCCCTCTGTGTCCACTTGGTTTCTGCTGCCTTTGGTGCTGCATCCGAATTGGCTTGTCCTCCTGCTGCCTGCAGAGCTGGGCCGATGCGTGGCAGGATCAGCTGGCAGCTGGCCGTGTGAACGGTCTGCACCTTGTTTCTCTGAAGCACCCTGAGGGGACTAGGCGCAGGCAGTTTCCAGCACAGGCCGCGTCTCTAGTGTCCAGTGGTGACATGGACATGGGTCTGTCTGTTGTCTGCTGTATTGAATGTTTGCTTTTTGATGGGCAACTCGCTCTCCTCACCGCCCCCTCCCTCTGAGGGTGCTTGAACCGCCTCCCCTGCCCCAGCAGCTGTGATGACACAGTGTCCAGTCTGAGTGGACTCTACCCACCAGGCCGGAGAGTTCTGATCCATGGCACGTGCCCCTGTCCCCTCTCGTCACGGCTCTGCTCTCTCTCGGTACCGCTTTCCCCACGTGCCTCACGCTTAACTGTGTGCCTGCCGTCTCACACGGCCATGAGTCGTGAGGACAGGGCCCCACATCCCTGCCCTGAGCTGTTCACATCTTCGTCTGCGTCATCTTGGATTTTTGTCTCTTAAATACACATCCACCATCCTGCAGCAGGCCCTTTGTCCCCTCCACCCCCTTCCCTGTCACCAAGTGACTCCTCCTGGTGGGGCCTCCCTCTTGGGAGCCAGCACGACCATTCCCTCTCGCTCTGTTCTCTTCCTCTGCGCTGCTCATGGCTGCAGGGAAAGATCCGCACGTCGCTAGTTGGTCAGTGTCTGTCGTCCTTTCTGGAGCTCCGGGTCAGAAGGAGCTTGCTGGTTATTGGAGGTCATGTCCATTGGTGATCTAAAGACCCTGAGTTTAAAAGCAGAGGAACTTGGGGCGTCTGACCGTTGAACAAAAAATTGTCTCCTTAAAGGCCTGTGTGTAATGGTATCTGGGTGATTGGAGTCTTTGGAGAGGAGGACCGAAGTCAGGAGGTCTCAGGAGTTCTTTCCTCTGATGACTGTCACCTCGGATCAACATGACAGTCTTCCCGGGCCTCTGTTTTCTCACTTGTACAACCAGGATAGCACAGTGGTGCGATAGTTTGTTATTGTTTTAATGATCGGTATTTTAATTTATTGGATGACCTTTCCTCTGGAGAGCTCCTGGTATCATACACAGAGTTGATAGTGAACACCTCTACGTATTGCTGCACTGAAGAGAAATGTGGACTAGAAGAGCAGCCAAGGAAGAAAGAAGTGGTCCTGGGCTTGAGGGGGGTGCTTTCTAGCCTTCTTGTCCTACGTCCCCAGCTTGGATGTTTGCAGGTGAGGATGCCACCATCTGGGGGTTTCTTGACCTTCTGTCTCCCACGTGTACCCTCTCCTGGGTGCAGATCTGAGTGAGCTCGTAAGATACGAGGACAGTCATTAACATACAAGGCTTCAGTTCCCCAGCACTCCTGTCCATTGTTGCAAGTGGAAGTCCTAACCTGAGGATTTGTGGACTTTTCTTGGGAAGTGTTGACTGTGTTAACCTTTTACAATCGCTGACCTGGGGTCACGTCCGTTGAGGGTTCCTGACGGGGTGTGCCAGCTTCCGTGGCATCATGACAGTGGATTGGTGAGCCCGTGGGTTGTGGGTACAAACCTGGTCCTGGGTGCTGCACAGGGGCCCCACGAAAGGGAGTGGGATCCCTGACTTGCTGGAGGCGCAGCGTGGCTGGCGTCCTTTCCTGCTCTCCCTCGCCTGGGGCCTGGCCACCTGCAGCTCTGCCTGTGTTCCGGGCCACGCCTGTTTCTGTCACCTTCTGACAGTGACGCGGGGCCTTGCACTGGTCCTGCCCCCAGTGCCGTTGGTCTGTCCCCTCCTCACGTCCCGCCCCCACAGCCCGTGTGCTGCTCAAGGGTGTGGAGTGTCCCCTGTACCCGGCGCAGCACCTGGCTCCTGGTGGGCCCCGGAGCGCTGCTGACCGAGCGGGGGCTTCTGTCCCGCTGGCGTGCCCCTGCTGTGCCGCCCACCTCCGGTTCCTTCTGGCTGGCCACTTTAAGAATCCCTCTGGCCTTGACCTTCTGCAGCAGGGTTCCGGAGACTACTGCCCAGGGGGCCAGCTCCAGCCCGCCTCCTGGTTTCGATCCTTGTGTACGTGGTTTTAGGATGGCTCTTAGTTGCTGACACCCATTCCTGTGGAACGTGAAAGGCTGGCTGCTTGCACATCAGGTTACTGAGAGGCAAGGGGAAGAATTCGGTAGAGATCGAATCTGACGGATTCAGATGGAAGGTCCCTGATGAGGGGATGAAGATTAGTCACACAGCACGTGTGCTCCATGAGTGCGGTGCGGTGCAGGGAGATGACCTGCTCTAAGTGACTCCTGTTGGTGCCTCGTGAACAGACCGAGGGTGGGGGCGGCGGCGCTGCTGGACTGTGGGGCCAGTGGGCAGACCTTAGGAGCCTCCTCTGTCAGACTCGGTTCACCTGTTATGGTGGCATGTAGCGTGATGTTCTTGCTCTCGGGTCACATTCTTCATCAGTGAAATTTAAGCTTCGCGTGGTTGCGTGGGCTTGTCTCTGCTGGGGACTAACGGAATTTTGGGTTTTACTGGGCTCAGTATGTTGCTGGGGGCCTCCGAGGGGAACACCCGTCGAAGCCGCAACTTCTCACCTACTTGGCAGGATTCCTGTCGATTAGAGAGCAGGTACCTGGAGCGAGTGACGGTGCAAAGAAGTGTCCGTTGTGTTGTTTGCCTCCCAGGGGACCAGCCCTCCAGCGCCTTGGTCGGAGGTCGGGGGTTCTTTTTCCCGAGGCGCCGTCAGAGGACGATGGCAAAGCGAGTGCAGAGGGCTGGTCGATGTGCAGATGTTCGGAGTTGTGCCATAGTTGATGTCGCACAGTAGTAGTGATGAGCGACGCCTGTGCAGCCTGACGGGAGCGGGGAGAGTGCGGGGGCAGGTGGGGAAGGCGGGGACGGGCCAGGGGAGGGCCAGCGGGCTGGCACTCCTGCCGTCCCCTTCATGCCCGACGCCCTGCACCCCCACCCTGAAGCTGTTGGGGACGTGCCCCTTGCCGCCCTGCCCTGAAGGCGCCTTGTGAGGTCAGGCGGTCAGGTCGTGGTCCAGCCGGGGGAGCACACAACCAGGCGTCGTGGTCTAGAATGTGAACTCCATTGGCTGATAGAACCGGAGGTCGCTGGCCTCTACCCGCGAGGCGGTGTGTGGGACTGTTAGCAAGT